AATAACAATAGCAAACACCGAGAAAGAATAGAATAAAAATATAAACCACTGGAGATAGAAATAAAAGGAACATGGAAGGAAAAAGAAGCATACATAGTCATACGAATAATGTCTACAACTGGAATTACACCACGTACATTCGTTAAAAGCACCTAAGCATCAAAACACATAGAAAGACATAATCCTCGAAACATGCAATATAGTATTCATACTCTTAATACTATATAGTATATAGTATTAATAATTATAGTATTATACTATTATTAGTAATACTATATAGTATTTTTATTCTCAATACAGTATTGTCTTATAGTATTCTTCTTAAACCATTCAACAGAAAAGGAAAAGAGCTACCCGTAGTAGCGAAAGGGTTAATACTTTTTTGCATACAAATTGCTGTAGATTTAAAGGTTAGGAAGAAGAACACAGTGCTTCACGTATTCACATTCCTCACACTCATACCACACATTTTATGACAACCAGTACAACGAAAAGAAGCATACATAGTCCTACTAATAATGTCTACAACTGGAATTACACCACGTAATGCAAAAGCTTGGTCCGCTACAGCTTTAAATTTTTCCACATCGGTTTCAAAACGTCGGAGACAATGTATAACGCTGTCCTTCAATACAAATGAACATCTCTTTCTGTTGCATCGTGTAGTCAATGTCAAAATAAGCTGTAATGGCCACTTTTACTTTGCATTTAAGTGCACAAATGTATTCAAGAATAAGTAAAGAAGCGTAGAAGAGGTAATGCTTCATAGAACTTGCGAAGAAAAATTTTTGCTTGCAATTAATTGGTTTCATAGTTTTAGTACTAATGATAATAAATTACTTTTTGCAGAGAAAAATTGGCGTTGGATTTACATATGTTGGTTAGACATTTTCTATTACTCGTATAGAGTTTTCAATTGGTTTAGAAATCTTTTGTAACAGTCTGTGTAGTGGTAATGGTTAACATAGATTTTGAATATACATGTGTGATATAATAAAGCAGCGATGTTTGTAAGAAAGGGATGAGTAGGACAAGTATGCATGGGATGTTAATATCTAATGGATTCAGGTTATCATGATAAATGAGTATGCGGGTAATGATCGAGGTATTGTGTGTAATTGTGTGTGACATGCAATGTATGAAAGTAGAAAGAACAAACCAGAGAGATTGAACATAGGTCAGTTGTAATTGAGTTGTAATAGTGAAAATATGTGTGAGCATGTGATTGAGAGAAATTAATTAGATTTATACTTAATACTTGTGTTTGATCATTTTATGTAATTAAACAAGGAATTGTTCATATTGTTATTGATATTTCATCCACCACTAACACGTGTAAATGGATTGTTCATGTAATGGCGAAATCAGTGTGAAAATCCTGTAAGAATAATTATAGCTAAGCAGAGGTAGCACGTTTATATCCCTGCTCCACTAGAAGTGCATTAATCATTTAATGCTCTTTGTCTTCTTTCCTGCTTTTATTTCGTAGAATAAACGTGATATCAGCTTTGGATGAAAATTCAACGAATTTCGAGATTTTAGTTTCAACGCAGTAAGAAACGTTTTTAAAAAATGAAATAAAACTTTATCTCTGCGGATTTTCCAGGTGAAAAATTATGTATGCTGGGATCAGTGTTACAGAGTAGAGATTCATTGCCAATCTAAATTACGATTAAAGCATAGTGAACAAGCAGCCGAGCGATTCAATTAGCCGTACACTGGCACTTAGGCTAATTAGTTTCTAATCGTATAAAGACATCTTTGTTACGAGAAGCAATTACACTTCAATTTTAAACTCAAAGTGCTCGAACTTCAAGGTTCCCATTATGAAGCACCAATTAAATTTCTGGTCGATTATTACTCGATGCAGTTATGCTACACGATTCATTTTTTCAATCTCCTCTCACAGAGTCCTCGATTTCAAAAATTTTCTATTAAATCCAATCCAAGAGAGATTTAAAATATTTAAAAGATTACATTTATAACTAAAAGATTTAGATTTAAAAATATTTCAAATCTTTCAATCCTCATAGTTTGAAAAAAAATTTTTTTAAAGAGACAGAAAATTATTTTTATTAAATTAAAGCAGGTACAATATATAATTTGTAATTAGGATAGACATACCTTAGGAGGATTAATTATATCTAACAAAGAAACGAGGAATTGTAAATACTATTGAGTATTAAAGTTATTTCAATTTGGAAGATTTCATTCACTATAAAATCTCTCAGAGAGTATATGAATCATGCAATAGGTATATCAATCATGCAATATTGAATGCAATATCCATAAACCAAAAATACTATGAAATATATAACAAAATAGGTACAATCAATAATTAGTAATTAAAATACAGATATTGCGAAAAATTATTTTTCTAATAAACGAAAAATTATAATTCTTGCTGAGTATGAAAAAAATCTTAATTTGAAAAATTTTACTGTCCACGAGATACAGACCCCCATAAATTCCCCAAAATAAAAAAATCTGTAACATAGTACCTAGACACAAACTATAATAAACAATTAAGGTAAAGACCTTCAAAAGTTAATTACCTAATATAGAAACGAAGAATTACGAAAGATAAAACACAATTCACTTAAAAAATAACAGGAAGTCTCACAACAAAATACACATGATCCACAATCGGTAATTAAAACCCTAACCTAACCTCAGAGAATTAATTCACTTATCGCAACAGCAAATAAATAATACAACCGTCCATTTCCCAACAGCACGAAAGGCCGAAACAAACAATTTTTTTTCCTCGACTCCGAAACTTAGACCCAATCCCAAATTCCTAATTCCATACACACCGTGTTTGCATTCCCACGCAAATAAACACACGCACGCTACGACCACGCGGAAACTTCTCTGACCTTGAAGCGAAGCAATTTACAGTTCGACAAACTGCTTACAACAATTGTCTGATAATTCTCTTTCAATCCCAGCCGACTGAGATGCAAAGTAATCGAAGTTTCCAGACGCTTTCGAAAAAGCTTCCACCCCGTCCCACCCTTTACACCACGAATTTTTATTGCGTCTCTGTTTCAAGGAATCCTTTGTCCAGAAGAGCCATCTGCCTTGAGGGACGCGAGAATATTCGACGAGCTTATCGAGACGAGCGATATCCATCGATACGACGAGACACCGAGTCGCGAAGCTCATTAAAAGCTCGTTAGAACGCGGATCGAGAGAGGTCGTGGCCTGGGAGGGGTCGGCTCCTTGGGCACAGTTTCGCGGGAATCGCGGAGAACGCCGGAAGTCGCGTTCACGCAGAGCAACGCGTAAACTAACTTAATTACTCGCGAGATTGCGCTCGTAAAAAAGTAATTTGCGATTAAATTAACCGCGGCGGGAAGCGGAGTGCAGTTGCCAGACGCCATGTTTTTCCTTATTTCAACGCGTGCCTGCATGGACCATTGGCAGGCCGCGGCCGGCGGAAGTAAAATTTCCATTAGGCGGATGAAAATGTTGCATTCTGTGTTTGTCAAACGAGGTATATGAGAGAAGGTATGTGGAGTTTTGCGTGAGTGCTGTGTTCTGACACCTTTGAGAACGAGTGTGTATCGTGGAGATTAAAAGCTTGGATAATTTCGTTGGTGTGTGTGTGTGTGTGGTTAGATTTCTTTCTCATTTATGGCGGATAGAATAGAAGTTAAATGGAAAGTTGAATATTCTATTTGTCTCTCTATCGGGAAAAAGGAAATATTAAATTTCATGGTTACGAAAAGTAATCGAAATATACCTTAGATAATCTGTAGGTATTAGGAATGAATACTGTATTGCGATATTTCCTTTCCCATACATGCATATGGATTGAAAATTTACAGGATTAAAAGGTGTTTGATTAAATTATTTTTAATTTTAGGCACAAGTAGACCTCGGCCATTTATTTCTTAACCCTTTGCACTCGAGAGGTGACCATCAGTCACCATTAGATAAAATTTCGAAGATCGATATGAATTAATATGTCAAATTTAATATAATGTAACGGTGTGCGAGCTATCGAATTCAAATAATTCTGTGTTAATTATTATACGATTTCTTATTTATTACTGAAAGAAATATTGCCAACTTTATAGCAGAAAATCTTTCAACTCCTACTCATCTTTAGCCAAAAGATCGTCGAGTGCAAAGGGTTAAGTTTTTCTTTTATTTGTTTTACTCATTCTCTTTAATTATTTCTTATTCCATTACTTTCTGCACTACTATACTACTACGTAATTACTGTATATTTCGTTTTACTATTTTTATTGTATACCAAAGGACTTCTGTTCGTTAATAAAGTATTATTATTATTATTATTTTAATGATTCATGGTTTACATGAGACAAAATTGAATATATCACCTGTCGTACAATTAGGTGAATAAATAATAAGAATATTACGTCCTACGTTTTTCTATTTAGTATGAATATTCCGTTCTTTTGTTATATATTTACAACTTTGTCTATGATGAATAATGTATTTACAAACTCAAAAAGTTTATTTTATGATATTATAGGTTTACTTATGCGTTAATACATATAACATATCACCTGTCCTTCAATTAAGCGAATAAATAATATTAATATGAATATTGTGTTCCTTCGTTTTGTATGTATAATTTGTATGCAAAAATTGAAAATCCAGAAGAAATGAATCTATCACTTGTCTCTCTATTAAATAACACGGTTAAATGAATGTACTTGATGTAAACTCAACACTCACGTCACATTTATGTGCTTAATATATATATAGAGAGATTAGAGTCATATCGAATTTCAATTAATCTGATTTTAATTAAATATTCGAATCGTAATTAATCTGACTTATAGTATGGTATATATATAAGGACAAATTGCACCCATCACTTTATATATAATTATATTCATAGAGTTCGAAATATTTAATACTTTCTGGACCTTTTCTATTTGGTCTTAAAATCTATTTTGGTCGCAAAATAAATATAATTATATGATCGATCTAGAGAAAAGTCGAATATGGAAGATATTTACCTGAGTCTTCACGTCGCCGCCAACGATAACCTTCGATTGAAAATTGCTTCTTTCCGTCAGGATCTTCGCGTTATTTATGTAGACTTCCTGGCCGTGCGTGCCTGTTCGCCTGGTGACCCATAGGGGTGGATTACCCTCTAACTCCGACGAAATCGAGTCCCCTAGGTTCTCGATCGTTTTCGGGAAATTTGCTGAAACAAAGAAACGAATATTTTTAGTCAAGTTAAGTTAGTTAAGATAAAAGTTAATCGAGGAAGTTATTAACCTTATTATGGACTGTCTCTAGCATTCGTTTATATACTTCCAATATTATTTTGCATCTTATAATTTATTATTAATATTTTATATCGTATAATTCCGTAAAATTGCTCAGTCACCATGAAATATAATAATATTTAATGTATTATTATTCAACCATAAATTGTTTCATTTCGTAAAATTGCTCTGTCAACGAGAAGTGCAACAATATTTAATGTATTATTATGTAACCGTATTTTTCATTTCAACGAAAAATATATTCCAATATAGGATCGAGATATTTTGCATGGCAGGAGTTAAATAGAAATTACCTCTTATGAATAAATAAATAAGGACCGTTTGCAACTGGAACATTGGAAACAGATCTTGCTCAAATTACCAGTAACGAGATTAGTCCGATATTTAAAGATTCACTAAGCATCGCATTGATAATGATCTAAAATCTCTTCAATTATTTTCGTTATCACGCCTTTGCTAATTCAGTCAGAGTCACTAGAATCATTTATTAGCGAATTAAATTCGAGCTTTTAATAAGACATTCCGTATCCGATATACACGTACTCGCGTATACTTAAAGTTTTCACAAATTTTCACAAATTTCCATTACACGAATTTGAATTTGAAAATAAAATTTGCACAAATCATTGACAACGTGATTAATTCAACGCGAATATTCGCATAATATTGCAATAATAATTTCTCGCAAACCCATCCAATTTACAGAATAATGATTTCAATAACTTAATAAAAGCTACGAAAATCATCTATCAGGTACAAAACTAGATTTTCTACAAATTACTAATTACGAAATTAATTCTATATGGATATTCACGTAACTGCATTAATAACAAATCACCTAGTATCCTTTGTGCCATTTGCAGTACCGCGCTTTTAATAATTCAACAGCTATCAAATTCACCTATTAACAATGAAAATAGATCTTGTACGAATTACCAGTAACGAGATTAATTCCACACCAGTATCCATGTAATATTACGTTAATAATAATTTACCTTTAACCCCTTGAATTATTTTCAATATAACATCCATCAATAATTCCATGAAGACCATAAGAATCATCAAAATCATTTACACGAGATTGCTAGAAACTTTTATAAAATTGTATTAATAACAATTTGTTATTTTTTGAGTCATTTCGAGTAAAACGTTTTCTGAGTACAATAGAGAATATCAAAATTATTTGGTAATGTTAAAAATAAATCTCGCAGGAGCGATAAAATCATAATAATCGCATTTTAACAGTTACACGTACTTTAAATGAAAACATTGATTTCTTTATTAATTCCCTACAAAATTTTAAACGTCAATTGCGAAATACCACAATCGCACATTAATTTAAAAATTGTACAAGTACATAGGAAATTATTATATATATAATTATAAGTAGGATACGAAAAGAAATCGCAAATCGGCTATTGCCAACAAAACCAAATTGTAAACCGATCGATATCTTCTAGAAGCAAATCGAAAAGTTATTCTCTATAACAAAATTAAGTTGCGTGACTCCCCTACGGGGGGGTGAAGCGTAGGTTAAGGAAAGCATAAAAGCGTGGTCTTTGACAACCAAAACAGAGTTCTTAGAAATCGGTTGTGACCAGCACAAGTGCGAGTCGTTTGATGTTGGAAAAAGAGTTTTAAAAGAATGCGTCCTTGTGTATTTTCGTTTCGTTACCTTGGTGTTCTTTTCCTAAGTTAAATCAGTTTACGAGTTTTGAGTTTGTGTTATTGTGTTCTTGCTCTTTCGATAATTTTCGCTGTCTCAAGACCAGTATTCGCCATCCTACATATATATATTATATAAATGACTTCTTTATCAGTTCCCTACAAAATTGTAAACGTCAATTGCGAAATACCACAATTACACATTAACTTAAAAATTGTACAAGTACACAGGAAATTATTATATATATAATTATGTATATAATATATATAACTTCTAGAAATTATGAAACCTTTGTTCTTCTGTTACTTTTACGTATCGCGTGCAATTTTATGTTTACACAGTTATGTACATAAAGGGCTTCAAGTCCATTTGCAAATAAATAAACATATATAAATATATATAATTATCTACCAGCGACAAAAATAGCCAGGAATATTGGCATAGCGTCTCATTAATGATTGACTCGGAATCCTTTGACCGACCTGTCGGCAATTCAGCGAGAGCTACGAAAAATCCTGGAAACGCAGCGAGCCGGCAAGAAATCCCCAGTCTGCAACGCTCAAACCCTCTCTTCCCTTTTCAAAATTTCAACAGCCTCGATTAAACGCGGAAGAAACGGCTCTCCCGGTGGGAAAGTCGTGGCACAGCGACAACTGAAATAAACAGCGGGACAGAAGCCTGCAAAGTATAATCCATCAAACGCGTTTCACCCCATCCACCTGCGCCGCAACCAAACCGTAAAAAGATCGTTCTACCACGAATCCGTGCTCGTCACCGCGCGCCAAGAATTTTACTTCCAACCGCAACCAGTACGCGAGTTACAAGAGCGTGGACACACGCTGGTCGTCCGAATGTAGTGGTACCGGTGGGAGAATAAAAAAGAAAAAAAAGAAAAAAAAGAAAAAGAATGGGAAGAAAGAACAGGGTGGGAGAAAGGCGAAGCTTGCAGCAAAGAGAGAAACCGACACCGGGACGCAAAGAGTTCGCCGCGAAGCTACAAAGCTGGTCTCTTTATTATCTCGTTACCGGCTAGAATGTCCTCGTAATCCCGAGGTTTTTCCAGCCGCTGTCTACCGACGTAGCCGCGATAGCCAGCGTTCTGCATCCTCAGAGAAAAGTCCAATCTCGGTATAAAGGAGAGAAGAAACGCGCGATGGGGTCAACAACAATAGCGCTCATTACGAACGTCAGGGATTGGGCCCTGTTTCGTTAAACTGCCGGCATCCTCTTCTCCGAAGTATCCAGGGAAACACCATGACCTCCACTTGGACAACGCCGAGTCTTCCCGCTATTTCACCTTCCTTTCCTCGTTTTCCCGTCCCCAGTGCCAGCAGAAATCCTCCACTTCCGCAGGAATCATCCCTCGACTGTCCATCGCGAACGAGGTCTTCCCTTCATCTGGCGTCTTCTGTTCCGCGCCCGAGAACCCGACAACGCTTTCCAACCAGTTCCCCGACCCTACGGAGCCTCGATCCAATGTTTCTTTCGTTTGATGGCAAGCTGGCCAACCGTTTTATCGCCGCATCAGCGGAAACGTACCCTCCTTCCTTGGATAGGTGAGAGCGTGATCGTTTTTGCCCCTGGTCCGGGTCGGATCAGGCACCTCCGGGGTTCTGACGCCTTTTACGGGCCTCGATCGGGAACTTATCTGAGAATGACTCCTTCGTTTGGCGGAGAGAGATCGATCTGCTGGGGATCGCATGCAAATACACGGGGTGATTGACGAGACGTCCCAAGATGCTTGAAGCACGGAGGCGTTACGTTGGCTGTAGCGTGGCTGGGTAGGTGGCGCAGGATTTCGAGAGGTTTCAGATGTAAAGAAGGTTAATAGGGTTGGGTGTTTATGTTGGGACAGGGTGGAAGGTTTCGTAGAAATTGCGGGGATTTTCTGTTACGGTTTCGGGGATAATTGAATTTGAATTTGGATATATCGTGTTTTTAAGTGGACGGTAAACGGGGTAGCGAGGGAGAATAATTTTGGGGCGATAATTTCAATAGGAAAGGTATTAGTTAACCAAATCTGTCGATCTCTCAAATTTAATTAGGTTTCCATAAAGTTTTCCTTACGGCGAAGAATTGAATATTTGAGAAATAATAAAAATTTGGAGGATAATCAAATTTGAATTTCAATATAACGTGTTTTTAATTGGATGCTAAATGGGGTAGTCAAGAAGAATAATTTTGGGCCCATAATTTCAATAAGAAAGATATTAATTGGCCCAAATCTCTCTATCTCTCGAAAATATTTAAATTCCCATAAAGTTTTCCTTATGGTAAAAGATTGAATATTTGAGAAATAATACAAAATTATATCACAGCATTTGTTACAACGATTTGGGGAATAATTGAATTTAAATTTGGATATATGGTGTTCTTAATTGGTGATAAATAGGGTTATAGATCAGGCAAGGAGAATAATTTTAGGAAGATAATTTCAATAAGAAAGATATTAGTTGACCCAAATATAGCTTCCAAATTTATTTAGGTTTTTATCAACTTTCCTTTATAGCCAAATATTGAATATTTGAATAAAAATAAAAAATTATTTCACAGGATTCGTTAATAATAATATATAATACCGAAGATTAAAATAATAGGATGAAAACAAATATGTCCACGAAATCAAGGCTAATTTACAAGAATATTACCAGGAACAAAACTTCCGAATTTCGATATATGGTGTTTTTAATTGGACGATAAATGGGCTAATCAAGGAAAATAAATTTGGGCCCATAATTTCAATAAGAAAGATGTTAATTGGCCCAAATCTGTCCATCTCTCAAATTTATTTAGGTTTCCATAAAGTTTTCCTCGTGGCGAAAAATTGACTATTTGAGAAATAATAAAAAATTATTTCAAAGGATTCGTTAATGATAATATGTAATACCGAAGATTAAAATAGTAGGATGAAAACAAATATGTCCACGTAATTATTTTTCAATGCAATAAAAGTCAAGGCTAATTTACAAGAATATTACCGGGAACAAAACTTCCGAAGGCATTTCGACTAATTCGATATCTCCGGTGTCAAAGCACGAAACAGATAAAAGCGACTCGCGATCAGAAAGGTTGCTGTATTTGCACAGCAACGCGCGAGGCAACAGAAACAAGGAAACTCTCTCGATACCGTTAAATTACACCGTGAACAGGGTACAGGAAGAAATAAAAGCAGAGTCATTATTCATTCCGGGCGACGAATCGCGCGTACGACGATCGAAAAATCTAGACAAATATGTTCCATTGAACGATCAATAGGTCCCCCGATCTCTACATCGTTTTGTCCCAGACGTCCCTTTCAACGAAGGCGGATGATTAAGTCCTCGATCGAATCCCATTTATTTTCCGCCGGGGGAACCCCTTGGGGCACAGGTGCGATGGCCGACCACAAAACGAGAACATTCGTACAAAGCTGCTTGCGCAATCGATTTATATTCTCTCGCCAAAAACCTTTCTCCGCCGCTTCCGTTGGCCAGCATGTAGCTGAAAGCATGCTTTCGAACGTTGCTACGAAGCATCGGCTAACAAAGAAAATACGCGTCGCGGGATTACCGATGAAACAAAAACGCGCTATCGTTTGTATGCCTGTGAGCCAAAGTGTCAGAAGCGCTTGGCTTAGCGGCGACACGAAAAACTGGATCGTCGAAAACGTTTCGGGGGTGGAAGAGGATGGGCCCGAGCGGAATCAGGCTACCCTTTCGATACTGCCCCGATCTCCGGTAAATGTTTTTCCACTCGCGTCGGGAAATCTGTGTAAGTTGGCAGATCTGTGCAGTTTTATCGGGGATTTCGTTTGTTTGCCTTTTCCTTCCCCGATGGCTGTTTTTCCATCGGAGCCAGACTTTTTCCGCGAAATTGTTCCAACATGTCGAGCTCTATCTTGTGAGTGTTATTGAAGATCGGTTGTCGCAGGCCATTCGCGTTGCTATAGTGAGAACGCTCGAACGTTTCGTTCCTGTGACAATGACTGTTTTTCGACTAGAACCGAACTATTCAGCGAAATTGTTGGTTAGGTGAGGTTAGGTTAGGTTAAATAATAAATAAATAATAAATAAATGGGATAGTCGAGGGGAATAATTTTGGGGCGATAATTTCAATAGGAAAGATGTTAGTTAATTAATACAAGTCTAGCATCAAAATTTATTTAGGTTTCTGTCAAGTTTTCTTTATGGCGAAAAATTGTTGGAACATGTCGAGCTGTACTTGTGAGTGATATTCAAGATGGTTGTTGTAGAGTATCGGTGTTGTTATAGAAAATTTGGGAAACTTTGATTAGTTATTTAGGATATGAAAGTGAGATGTAAGTCGAGTGCAGAAATTGAATTTTGTATAATTGTGTAATGAGTAATTGAAAAACTGTTTATTATTATTAGAAAAGTCGAAGGGTTTGGTCGATGACTGCTGACCACCACTATCCACCATCAACCCCATAGGACGAGAAAATAACTAAGATACTAACCAAGAATTTCTTGACATTTTCGATTTTATTATAAATTTATATTGAGAACTTTGTTAATAACAATTTTAACCCTTTGCAATCGAGAGGTGATTCTCAGTTGCCATTTAATCAGAACCTAAAGATCGATGTTAATTAACATATCAAACTTAAAATTACTCAACGATAAGTGGAATGTCGAAATAAAATAATTCTACGTCTTAATTTGCATACGATTTCTTATTTATTATTTTAAAAATATCGTCAACTTTATGGCAGAAAGTCGTCGAATTACTATTTTTCTGTAACGAAAAATTCGCCGAGTGCAAAGGGCTAATTTATTGTTAATAATAAATTTGATAATTTATACACGTCTTATAAACTGAAACAGCATTCGCACTTCCATAGGATAAATTTCTATGAAACGTATATAGATGTCAAAATATTTTGATTTCTTCTCTATTTTTGGCTAGAACGAAGTATTATGCTAAAAGTAGAAACGTTAGAAAATTCATTCTCATCTTAAAAGTTATTTGGGAATTAATTTCTTAACAACTTTATATTAAAAAATCATGTTTTAAATTATAAGTGATTTACAAAAATTTCTTATATGATTAGTATAAAAAAGTATACGAAAAGCTTTTTAATTTTCGTGTAATCCATTTTAGCCTGTCCACGATCCAAAATCGTGCATTTTTGTAAACTGAGAGTGATGGAGTAATTCCAAAATCTTCTAAATCTTCAGAAATTTGCCGAGTGACAACTATAATAACAATCGTCTCTCGAATTAAAAAATACCCAAATATTTCTAACCACTCTAGATCCTGAAAATAATTCTTTTCGAAATAACCGTACAGTCGCGTGAAGAATTCTGGAACGAAATGCCAGTCGATCCGATTTTCCCCAGTCGAGATCGACGGCATTCGATGCAGAGAAATGCACCGTTCGCAACGTCTATTTGTCGGCGAAATTTTGGGAAAAGATGGAGGTGGCAAACAGACTTCCGGCGGACCTCATAGAAATGCTGAAACGTGCCTCGCGAGCTCGGAATAATTTCGATTCCAGTGCCCGTTGCACGGTCGTTTACACGAGCGTGCACCGGCGAGGATATTTCGGTACATTGCAAGGCACGGGACTCGGCATCTTGTTTGGACACTTCTTTAAATCAATTACGAGTTCCCGGCAGGCAAGTTCGCCGGGCAAGTAGTACGCTTCACCCCTGCCAGTTCGACGAAAGTTCGACGAACGTCCCCTACCCTGGCCCACGCGGAAACGTGGCATCAAACTCTCGGTTTCCGGATTGTTTGCTCGGCTTCGACGGATTCAATCGGCGCATTTGCGATTCAGATGATGATCGCGGCGGCTTACGCTCGTGAAATTCGAATATCGCAATTGCCCTGGCTGGGCTTGTGCACACCGATTTTCAAAATTCCACCCTTGCCCCTGGTTACGCCTGTGTTGCGTTGATTGTAAGTGTGCTGGACAATTTGTAGGGTGAACACGTTGATTCGAATTATCTTTAACACGAGTGTAATGTGCAGTTCAGGCTAGTACTGTATGCAATGATGTTGGCAATATAACTTCACCTTTGGAATTATGTAGAGACTTGGGTGGTGGTAAATAATAGAACTATTTATTAAATAAGAATAATAATAGATTAATGATAAACAATATGTGGGTGACGATTGAGTATACGAATTTATATCAACTACAACTTAAGATTACAACTCAACTCAACAACACAATAACAACTCAGCCAGTTCTAATGGCTCACAAGTAAAATATAACTAATCAATTAACAATTAATAACTCCTCTCTACACAACTCTGTTCTGATCACTTCTAAGATTGTCTTCATAACTCCCCGAAAGAACTGTCCGCTTCAAGCTCATGCACCCTTATTTAAAACCATACACTCTATCATCTTTCATACCCATGCTGTCTTTCCCAATCATGCTTTTCTCACGCACTCCTTACAGTCTTGCCCTCAGTGGGTCAAGTAGTTCAAACACTTAGACGTATTCCTAGATACTCATCACTTGCAACCGATACTTCCATTAACATCCCGTCCACACGATCCTTCATCCATCTGCACGCACTCCAGATAATACCCCGAATGCTCCAGCCAAGTCCAAGACCGCTGTCTATTATCCTGGGATACTACAATTATATACTACAAATGAGATTGTAGTACAAAAGAATTTATGTAATACATATGTACGTAATCTGGTGGATTAAGCTCTGATAATCCACTGGAATCTATTTTCAACAGATTAGGAGATGCTTATTGGTCATGATAGTTGTTAAGATCCCTCTGAGGGACTATTTTATTAATTTTAGATAGAAAAATTGGGATATAGAGCAAAATTAGGTAGTTAAAATATTATACAACGGTAGCACAACTAAGAAGGGGGTGGTTCTATATGCAGAAACGAATTGGAAAGAAAAGAATAAAATTTTTTGATTCGAAACCTCGTGTTTGAGAAAATCGATTTTGAATATTTACCGAGTGTGAGTGCACTTAGCTATGGTTTGTATGGACAGAACGTCTATACACGAGTATCAGTAGTACAATCGAGAATGGGGTGATTCTACATGAAAGAACAAATCAGAAATAAAGAATACAATTTTTTTATTCGCAGATTCATTGTCGAGAAAATCGATTTTGAATATTCACTATTGAATGCATATCATATGTTGCATGTATTATACAATATTTAACGAAGCTTATATATAAAATATGAATGTTAAAACATTAAGGGTATTTGTTCAGAATTATAGATATACAGTAATTAGTTGAGTCGATATAAATGGATTATTTAAAGCAAGTAGGTGATTCAATACTTCCTGCAAATAGTGCTGTTGTTTAAACAAAAATTTTGAAATAGATTTATAGCAGTAAAATGTTATTTATCATGATTGTTATTAAATTTCTTTTTAATATGTAATATTATCATAAATTAAATTTTATTGCGAATATCGATAAAAGTATTTATTGGGAACATTAAATTTGTAATAATTAATTCAGTCAGTTTGAATCAGTTAAAGTAATTAGGTAATTTATATCCGCCGCGACAAGTCGTGCTGATGATTAACGCACTCTAGCAGCGTCTCCAGAACTAACGTATGCGACAGTTGAGCGTGGGTTGCCGGTGTGTTTGGTATGTGTTTTCATATTTTCTAAATGCCTATGTGATTTGTAGTGATTCGAACAGTTCTCGGTTGTTTCATTAACATATATAGTTTCAAGAATATTTCGTCATTGAAATGGACAACGTATCAGTATCAAAGGTACAGTCTACCTGTTGCTTTTACTTATATAACCTCAAAATGTAAACGCGGTAATCAGTTGACTTAACTAAATAAAATAGTTTAATATTGAAATTTTAATTAACTAGAATCTGATGCTTATGTATAATACATTTTATATGAAATTTTCTATATATTTTTGTTCCATGTTACTTTTCTTTTACATACCTTAGTTTCCTTTCTTTATGAAAGTTGTATTTCTATATCCTTTGTTGTTTAGTTTACATTGATTTTATGCAGTAGGATTTTTATAAGTTAATAAATGGTGGATCTACAGTAGGGCATTATAAAATATTTATTGATTACATTGATACCAATATTTCTGGAGTATCATTAATGCGAACTTTCTATTCTCCTAATGCTTTATATGTTTATATGTTTCTATTCTATACTCCTTATTTTTAAAGATTATAATCTTATTATAAGAATACCTATAAAACATTCTTTTAAGAGTGTAACATTATAAGTTAGAATACTTTTAGGGTGTTTTTCCTCATAAAGGTGCATATAAAATTGGGAGTAGGCAATCAGAATTTCAATCGCCAGATTATTGTAATGAACCATGGTATCTTACTTATGAAGAAACATGGGAAAGCATTCAAACAGCGGTAGAGGTATTTTTCTCGTGTTATATGCTGATGCATGCATTATTTTATTACTATACTTTCTTGTGAATAAGTTTCGCTAAAATTTTAGGATATGAGATCAAATACGTTTCAACAAATTTTGAGAGATTTACAATCTTTTGTTTCTAAAATTAAAGAGAGACCGCTAGAACAATTTGAGAATGAAATACAAACGGCTTTAGTATTAACAGGTGATATGATTGAGTATATGTAAATATAATATATTTTTTTATTAGAGGAATGCATTTTTAAAACAACTGTATTGCAGGAGTTAATTCTTCTGATCATGCAATAATGTTTCAAAGAATACAGTCTAAGTTAGAATCTATAACAAAGCATATAGCAATTATATCAAGTAAAGATTCAAATAGTATAAGGAATATCATAGAAGAATCAATTTCTCAATTGATTAATAAAAAGGTATATAATATAAGTATAATGATTATCAAAATATCGTGAAAACAAATGTTAAATATAGCATATTTGTTTGTAGAGTGAAGAAGTATTGATTAAAAAAAGCATGTGTCATATGAGAAATCTAAAACTGTGGCACCAGAAACACTGTGATCAAAATGATCCACTTGTTATAGTGGTATCAGATTTTGAAAGTTCTTCTTCTGAAGTATTACGTGATTTTATTTTAATATTGAGGTATCATTATCTTTTGATTGTATATCTCAGGCTGTTATAACTCCACTGTTGATTTTATATTTCTTTTAGTTCATATTCAAGCACTATGAAATTTATTCTTATATTTGGTGTTGCTACCACATTGCATGTCCTTCATAGATCCTTAACATATGATGTTACATCAAAGTTAAATATTCAAGTAAGCAATAAATGTATCACAGAAAAGACAAAACATAAAGACATTTCTTAGAGCGATAATTATTTTTTATTCAGGTATTTTCTATGCAAAAACAAATTGATATTTTATCATATGTACTAGAAAATACTGTTTTTTGTACAAATATCCCATTTAAGTTGACTGGACGTGCCTTTCAGTTATTAACAGATATTTTTCTGTTTTATGATTTTTCTGTAGAAAGTTTCTTACGAAGTTACAAGGTATTGCTTCTTTTCTTTTTTCCTTTTTTAAATATTTTTTTCCTGCATATTATCCTTAGTCATCATCAGCCTAATTTCTTCTTTAAGTTAATATCACATTTCTAGATATGTATGATACTACACTTTTATGCAAACAATATAAGCTCTCTTTGTTGCCACCCTAAAAAAATACAAAGCAGAATGTCTTCTTTAACCGATGAAGATTTGGAAGAAATTAAAAAATTGCCTTCAATAGAAAAATATATAAAAGAGTCCAACTGTGAGAGCAAAGACAAATTGCTTCAGAACGACGAATTCAAGGTACTAATTTTTTACTCAGCATTCATAAAAGCATCTCCTGCATCTCCAGTTTATTATAGGAAATACTGATACAGTTGTTGAACAATTTTCATCAATATATGCACCGGTTTTTATTAGCACTGAGATGCCTCCATAATCTCTTTTCATCATTGCCAAATGCACCTATGGGTAAACAGGTATAGATCAAAATGGAACACTTTCTTCAACAAAAGTGTATACACCAACAAAAGATGTATGAAACTATTCTAGCTACGTGAATACTACACAAAAGTTGTTTGCACATACGATTTGAAGGAATCTGAAGAGTATAAGGAATGCTTTCAATTGTTGAGCTTTTTATCCAAGACTGAACTTCTCTCGAAACTGAATTCTTTAATAACAATTATTGGAAGTTCTGAAGATTCCATTATGAAGAGAGATCAAGCAAATCTACAGGATTTCATAAAGACAATCGAGGAGGCTAGTTTGGAACTTGCTACAACACCTGTCGATATCGTCTCTACCGGTGAGAAGCTCAGTCGACTTCAGCTGAAAGAGGTTTGCGATAAAACTGGATGCTTTCCCAAGCGATGAGTCAGAAGGAAGCAACGAGACATTTTGCTTTATGTTTTCCTATAGAAATTGCTGAAATGGTCGCAAACACAGTCTCGATCGCCATATAAACTAGTTCAACAGGATGTGCTCAATTTCTTGGATCACATGTTTTCTGTTCATCTGGTCAATCCTAATAACATACCAGCGAATGAGATATTTTGCTACAGCGATGGAAATCTGGCGAAGCAACATATTCGTGGATCCTTGAGGGCAGCGATTCACACTGGATTGAACGATCCACAAGTTTACTTGAACGTGAGTCAGATAAAAATTATTTCTATTGTGATTTTGGAATTATATATCTTCTTATTAAAGTAAAATAATATCATCTTAATGAAACCAATCTGTAACTATACTTCCGTTCATATATCAACTATATAAATAAATATAAAGTAATAATTATAATACAAAATGGATGTCACCAATTTTTAAATGTTTCTAGAATTTTATTATAAACATATATTTGTAAATATTTATGAATTATGAATGGAAGTGTTCATATAATATACTTATATAAAGATCTTAATCCTCAGTTACCCCTAGTGTGATCTGGTTCTTATGTGGCTTGGAAGTTTCATGTTTTCTTTTATTTATCGATCACTATTTACAATCATTAATTCCCAATTTTGAAATTTTCGATTACAATCTCTTCTTCTACAAGCAAATTCACAAAAAAATTCCAGTCACAGAAGGTTCATAAATCAAGTTTATCAGAATGCTTAGAATACTTAAAACGGGGAAAAAGTAATAATTATAATACAAAATGGATGTCACCAGTTTTTAAATGTTTCTAGAATTTTATTATAAACATATATTTGTGAATATTTGTGAATTATGAATGGAAGTGTTCATATAATATACTCATATAAAGATCTTAATCCTCAATTACCCCTAGTGTGATCTGGTTCTTATGTGGCTTGGAAGTTTCATGTCTTCTTTTATTTATCGATCACAAATTCCCAATTTTGAAATTTTCGATTACAATCTCTTCTTCCACAAGCAAATTATCAAGAAATTTCCAGTCACCAGGTTAACAGTGATTTATATAAACAAGACTGTACCCTAGAATCGAATATTTCTTAACATTTTATATCTCTGCACGTTCATTGACTCCGATCTTTAATAACTTATGGTATACATGGAAATCAACCAGGAACTTCAATTATCTTCACGAGGTTCCGTGAAAGTCGATCCTTCGTTAATCTCTTCACGCGAGAAATCCAAAAAATATCATTCGTCGTTCATTTTACCAGAAGAACACACTCATCTCGCTCATGCATTGTCCTCCCCGCTCTTTCTTCCTTTTTTCCACGCTTTCTCTATCCCGTTCGAAATATAATTCGTTACGAAGTGTTCGTGATCCCCATTCAATTGCTTTCGTCGAGAAGGTTCGCGACTTCAATGAGCGTTCCCCTCTGTTCGCGCGTTCATTGTGGCTTTCGATTCTTCCGGTGCTATCGACCCTCTCCGCGCTATCGGCGGTCGGATATCGATTATGGATTTTTCCTGATGGGAAACGATGTCGAGCCTCTGTCCTGCGCGTTGAAGTTAATTGGAAATACATATTTCAGTGCGAGTGCTGCAAATTGGAGAACGACGACGCCATTCCGTCCACGCTGCCTGACCGCAGTATAATTTACAAGCTGCACTTGGAATCCAGGAAGCTGATCAATATGTACGACTGGCTGCAGGTAACAATCCGTTCGTGCCTGTGTTTACAGGTTAATCACGGTTATACTTATGGTCACGTATGCGCTCCTCCGTTTCGTGATTTTAATCGGTGCACCCCGAGCGATTCACGCGACCACCCCTTTGCAAACCGGCCGCGAGAGGGGTGAGGGTTGTTTTATTTTTCGCGGTCATTAGAGGCTTGGAAAACTCGGCCTGGACAAAGGAAACCGAAGTCAAGGTGTGGTTGCCGTGAACGGTATAGCAAGCTTGTAAATTATTGTATTAACGCTAGATCTACCGGGTGAGTCAGAGTAATTTAGATCGAGGATTTTATTTTTATAATTGGGGTAAATGTGCGGTTATTTTGGGGGAAATTAGTCGGGATTTTGTCTCGAGGTATGAGGTTGGCTTGGATGACGCATTGTGTTGGTAAATTATTTGATTAAAAGTATTTACTAAACGAATTGGAATAATTTAATTCAGATATGTTTACAATTAATGTAAACGCGCGGCTATTTTGCAGGAAATTAATTTTGATTACGATTTAAATGGGAAATTTATCTTCCTCGTATTGCTGTAATTATTATTTGTGCATGATATATTTAATTACTCGTTACAGTAGTCGTAGTATTCTAGTCCTGACGTTAACTCGATAAATACTTTGATAAATGTCAAAGTGATATCGTTATACACACGTATATTTACTTGAAATATTATTCGTTATAATTCTTTAATTACTATGCTATGCTATGCTAACAATTTTCTCGTTTATTTATTCATGAATACGTATCGGTGCATTTCGTTGCATCGCGTCGAGCAAAAATAAAAAAAGAAAGAAAAAAAATGAAAAAAGAGAAACATTCGTGATGTGAAATTTATAAAAGTTAAATGTTTGTGGAAGTTTCAAAGGCAATGCATTTTGAAATAGATATCAATCGGTGGAAAAATACACGGTGTACTGTTTTGTGTATAATATTCCGGAAAAAATCAAGGCTCGCGTTTCGCGTGTAAATTTTCGTGGCATTTCATAGCCTGGCTACACCCAGGCTGAATTAGTATTCCAATTGTTCCATTAAATTTCACCCTAAGTATACTTCATATCACTAGGTCTTAAATCATAAATCCAAACACTTTTCTTCCTTCTAATACCCGGCGTTTACGTTTCTTTATTTGAAAGAATTACGCTGTGAAATGGAGAAATGAATAGAGATACGAGCATTTCCCGAGAATTCCATTTTCACGGACGTCGACCACGATCCGTGAGGTGTTAAGCCACATTCGCATGGAAAGGCAGGCTTTTAATGGGGCAACCGAGTTCCGTTTGCCTTCAAGATACACCTTTCAACGCTAAAAATACTCGACCAGTAGTCTGTATCATTCCTTCCCCTAAATACTCCTTTATTTTAATCCCATATTTAACGCGATAGCACTTTGGTTAATTAGAAACGAAGAAACATGAAAATCCATAAATTCTCACGTGCGAACAGCGTGGGAATATCTTATGGCCGATAAGATAAGTCAGACAGATCGTACATTACCTTAAAATATACTAAACTCTGTACCCTGATCGAACTCTCGTTTCCCTCTAAAACCCTGAGCTGCCTCTCTATCTGGATTTCTTCTGAGAACTTTAATTCTGTACTTTGAAAACTCTGACTTGAGATATTTTTCATGATGTAAGTTCTTTCTTCTCTATCCTCGCTCTATTTCTCAGTATCCTCTTCAATCTAGAAGAGCTCTAGAGGTATCTCTAGAGAGGGAATGATTTCTGTCTTCTCTGACTAAGACCTTGGGTTATCTTTTACTCCACGTTATACTTAAACTTTGAGTACAATATAAAATTCTTTTTCGTTCATTTTCTATTGCCTTGGACCAAGCACTTTTCATTTATAGTTCTATTGTTCTAGTCTATAAACTTTTGGCTATCTAAAACGTTTCTATTATTTCTAATGAATCTGAATAAATAGATCTAAACCTTGAATAATCCTCTACTCTTTGTCATACCTAAATCTTAAATAGGGAATCCTTGTCTGTACATATCTCTGTTGCATTGGGCCAAGTACTCTTCATTTATAGCTCTATTGTTCTAGTTTATAGATTTCTGTGTATCTAAAACATTTCTATTATTTGTAATAAATCTGAACAAATAGATCCAAACCTCTACTATTTGTGATGAATCTGAACAAATAGGTCCAAACCTTGAATAATCCTCTACTGTTTGTCATACCTAAATCTTAAATAGAAAATCCTTGTCTGTACATATCCTGTTGCATTGGGCCAAGTACTCTTCATTTATAGCTCTATTGTTCTAGTCTATAGATTTCTGACTATGTAAAACATTTCTATTATTTGTAATAAATTTGAGCAAATAGGTCCAAACCTTCAATAATCCTCTACTCTTTGTCATACCTAAATCTTAAATAGGAAATCCTTGTTTGTACATATCCTGTTGCATTGGACCAAGTACTCTTCATTTATAGCTCTATTGTTCTAGTCTATAGATTTCTGGCTATCTAAAACATTTCTATTATTTCTAATAAATCTGAACAAATAGGTTCAAACCTTCAATAATCCTCTCCTCTTTGTCATATCTAAATCTTAAACAGGGAATCCTTGTTTGTACATATCCTGTTGCATTGGACCAAGTACTCTTCACTCACAGATCTAGGTCTACCAAATCTAGGTCTACCTATTTGTCTCTTATTTTCCCCCAAAAAGTTCTGTCATTTCGTAGTAGAAATTGACGAGTGGATAAAGGTCTATTCTTACAGGCATTTTTAATTATCGTGGATTCAACAGCGGACGCAAAGGAGCAACGAGACGTGCCCCCGAAATTACAGTATCCTTTTTCATTTAGAGGTTTTCTCGCGTCCGTACGGTCCAGGAGTAATGGGACGTGCGGAGATTTGTCTAACCACGGTACGTTTGAAATTCATATCATAGCTGGTAATGGTGAAATCGTAGCCTCGTGGTGGTTACTCGCCGGGATCGCATGCCTCTTGTTTGAATAATTCACACGGGAACACGTGTGAATTTTATCATGGTTCATGGTATCCTTAACGGAGATTTAGAGCCCGTTTTACTCAAGCAGTCGCTGAGCTGGAGTTCCTCGGTTTCATCAAGAGTTCACGACAGAAAACGGATCACGTGAAGAGACTCACTTAATTATCGATCTCTGATATCCTCGAATATCGTCTGTTCAATTTTTGTAATCTTCGTCTCGACTTTTTCACGTGTTTTATACTCAAATGAATTTTGTACCTCTTGGCAACGCGTTTTAATAAAAAAAAAAAAAAAAAAGAAGGAGGAAATGAAAGTATCGTTTAATTTTTATTTTTATCTTTATCTCTGTTCCAAGAAATATCCTCTAATATAGAATAGCGTGCAGAAGTTTCCGGACAAGCACTTCCGTAGCTTCGAAGGGGAAAGCTGAGATGAAATTTAGATAACGCGAGGGTATGGTACGATGGGAAGGGAAAAAACAGAAGTACGGTAGAGAAACGTTCTTATTTATGGGGATAATTATAATGATTAGGGATAACTGCGTTACCTTTCCCCGTTCTAAGCATCGTTAAACAACAGTGTGTCTGATAACACGTATACAACCACTGTCCTTCACTCTGAAGAACTTTTTAACCAGCCACTAGGGGTTAGTTTTAGAGTCTAATGGTTAATTCTAAAGGCTGATAATCGCTTGCAGCTTATAACTTTTGTCGTTCAGAAAATTGAAATTTCATGAAAATATAACTTTCAAGATAATTCTGTTGGAAAAACTCGGTATATATAATTTTATGGAATACTTGATACATGTAATGCACACGTCGTGTAATGAAATATTGTCACGTAACGACTCGTTGATCTTTATCAAATCATCAAGGATAATATTACTCTTTTCCATCAAAAATTTAATATTTTATCAAATTATTTTAAATAAGGTTCCACGATTATTATTCGGAAAATTATTAGTTTGTTAATTTACTATAAATAGAGAATCGATATTGTTATTAAATTTTAATTCTTTATCGGAGGAAGATATTTTTCCAGTTTTTCCCAAATTAGGAACCTATTTCATAATTCAAATTTTATTTTCCACGAGGAAAACGTAGTATTTCTCCAATTTCTTTCAAATGGAAAACAAATATTGTTATTTAAATTTAGTATATGTTCCATTTGAGAAGATACTATATTATCATTTTTTTTTTTAAATAAAAATTACTAAATAAAATAAATATTTAATAATATTGGTAGTATTATTATGCAAATTATTAGACATGTGCAACGATTTAATTCACAGTTCACAATTATTCAGAACTTTTAAATTTTTGCTATAAAGTGTTAATAATAGCCTTTTTAATTATCAGTATGAATAATTATTTGTCAATGCTAATTATTTGTAACGTAAAGTATTCTTTTTTTCCTATCACATAGTATGCATCTATCTTGGATTAAACTCATGTTTACGAATTTCGCATATCCGACTACTGATTGCAATTAGTGTAATCTGAATCGGGATATCTTCTATCAAAATACAGAAATTTAGTACACCAGTTGGATTACATGTATCGCCGAAATATTTTACCATGTACATAGGTATATCATTCGGCAGCCCGACTACCATTGTAAATTAATAGGCGTAAATTGATCCCAGTTTTGGTTTAAATGCAGGAAATTGTTATACGATTGACCATCCGTGAAAATTTATTTTATTCGTTATGTAAAATTAGTTCCGCTTTGTTTGAGAAATTGGTAGGAGGAACCAATTCATCTACGCGATAACAATCTCTATCGAATTTGTGAAAAATGCCCGCTCTTTAAATCTGTTATGAATCGAATAATTCTTTATTACTTTAAATTATTTCGTGTCAGACATACATTGTTCTCGATGATGAAAATTTCGTTTCCATATCTATTCTTCATCCATATTGTCTGTACATTTAATATTTTAATTATTTTTATTTTTGAAAGAAATTCCTATATTATTAAAAAACATAAAAATATCCTAAAAATATAAATCGTTAACAATTCACACAAAGGTAAACGAGATATACACAGCAAATTTACAAAATTTACCCTCGTATTTCATCCACAAAATTTACCCCTATCAAAGGATACAAATTTACAGAAATGCTCGATTAAATTTAACCGAGTTCAACAGCCAATAGTAAAATTTTCGCAAATACGGTATCTTTTTTCTAGAAATCTATTCAAGCATGTCAGATAAGGAAGAAGAAGAAATATTAAGACAGGAAGTGACGTAGATACATTACGTTGAATAGTAATTATCCAAATTATGGATACTTCAATGGAACATGACGAGTAAAAAAATTTTATATTTTATAATTTTTATATTATCCTTGTAAAATTGGTATCAATGCATCGTCGAGATTTGTTACAGATAAAATGAGTCCAAACACGACATAAATCGGCCTAATTTTAATTACAATAATTAACTAAATATAGACACCAAAATGATACGTAACACCATAACGAAATAACCCGATTCATAAACTATTTAAAATTGTTTTAATCGTGAAGATTCCAGTAATGCCTTGGTACCTATTATTTTCAAAAAAGTAAGACGAAAATTATAAAAATTAAAATTCTCTTCGCTGCCTACATATTTTTTCAATAAAGAGTGGTTAGCGAAGAGTGAGGGAAGAGTCGATATAAATTTAATCGAGTATTACCGTACACCCTGTCACGAAATCATCATAGATCTCCTGGTGCATCTCTCTCAAAAAAGTGCCATAATTTCCACCTTTATCTCCATATCCATACATCACCTAACACTCCGGCTGGACAAAATTATTCGCGCGCCACGTAACGCGCGATTCAATGTAGTTTAATCAACGAGCCGTGAAAATGCACTCGATACGATGCATTTAATTCATCCGGTGGCGGGCAAATTTTAATTTCACGGCTAAATTGCCAAAGTTGGTCCGAGCCTCTGTCGATGTTCGCGCGGCTCATACGTGTGACATTTATGACGCGTTGGCTGGGTGGTACACAGCCAGTTTCACGATCTTTCCTTTCGTCAACAGGGAACCTCATTATCGGCATTTCACACGTGGAATGCGTGCAACGTAGCTAGGCAAACTGAATTCTATAGACGACAGGTGTCTGATGCAGATAAACCGCGGAAGGGTAAATTTGTGAAGCAAGCAGAATTTAATTCGCTATTCAATGCATGGACATAACGTGCCATCTATCATGTACGTTTACGAAGGGAGAAGCCGCATAATCGTGGAGCCTGGGCTTTTGACACATTCCTTACTGATCCACGTGCCTTTGAACCACACACGAGCTTGAAAGCCTGCTTCGTGGTACCGCATCGCATGATCGATGTTGAAGATTTCCACCGGTGCGTAGTCCTGGCTCAGATCACGTTCGCGTTGTTTCGATTACGTTACGGCTGATGAAGGAATTAACTCCTTATATGCTTGTTCTAGGGGTTCGTTGCAGGAATTCGAAGCGAAAATTCCAAGACTTTGTGTTACGGAGCTGACGATATTTTGGGGGATACGAAGAGGTTATTGCGAATATAGGATTTGCAGATTTTCCTCCTATGATAGGTTTTGAGGTAATTTGGCATGTGGAAAAGTTCGTATTTCATAGGGCAATTTAAAGTTTTTCTTTTATGAAATTGATAATATTTTTGAGGATAAGAAGTTGTGAATTATTATACAGGATTTCCAGATTTTCCATCGATAATAGGTTTCGAGATAATTTGGTATCTAGGAAAGTTTGTATTTAATATGGCAATTTAAAATTTTTCTTTTATGAAATTGATAATATTTTTAGGGGTAAGAAGTTATTGTGAATTATTATACAGGATTTCTAGATTTTCCATCGATAATAGGTTTCGAGATAATTTGACATCTAGAAAAGTTCGTATTTCATATGGGAATTAAAAATTTGTCTTTTATGAAGTTGATGATATCTTTTTGGAATAAAAAGAAGTTATTGTGACTTATTATATAGGATTTGCAGATTTTCCTCCTATGATAGGTCTCGTGTTAATTTGGCATTTAGAACAGTTCGAATTTCATTGGTAATTTTTAATTTTTCTTTTATGAAATTGATAATATTTTTGGGAGTAAGAAGATATTGTGACTTATTATATAGGATTTACAGATTTTTCTCCTATGATATATCTCGAGATCTAGGAAAGTTCGTATTTCATATGGCGATTTCAAATTTTTCTTTTTTGAAATTGACAATGTTTTTAGAGATAAGAAGTTATTGTGAATTAATGCAAGAAACTTGCGAATTAATAATAAGTCTCTTAATAAATTCGTATTTGATGTAAATCTGAAGTTGTTCTGTGAGTTATCTGAATTTATAAAATATACATAATAACATTTATTTTCTGACGTATGTTAAAACGATGATCGTTTATCGAATGACGAGATCAAATTCTAACAAATCTAAAGATTCATATGCACGTTTAGGTTCTAGATAAATGAAAGTTGAAAGGCTAAACGCATTTAAACGCAGTGTTTGGCGTCGATATTTTGGAATTTTAGGTTTATAGTAAGTCAATATAACATTGGAGTATAGGTACAGTTGGATGTTTAGTTGAATAATATAGATGTTCCATCTATTTCCTTGATTAAGATCAACACTACTCCACTTTAGCATTAATCTAATATTGGACCAAGGGCTTCTGTAGCTTCCATTTATACGATGTTTAACTTACCCTTACTAAATCGAAAACTCACAAAATAGCGCGATTCTTCGAGGAATGGATTCAAATTTCGAGGACAAGAAAATAAAGAAAGATCTGTTTACTTTAGGGATAAATATAATTCTAACATCATATAACCAATGAATATCAAATAAATGATCAAATAGTACTAATATAATACTATAATAACTTTCTAAAAGTTATTTATATATATTCTGAAAAAGAATTTTTGAAAAACAGAATATTATTTTATAGTGTCTTCGATAAAAATTTTTAAGAATCACAAAATCGGATGATATTTATTTCAGTCAGCATAGATGGATTTAAATATCGATTTAGAAATAAACTGTCAATTTAAAAAATATCCAATATATCGAGTGTGTTCGAAAAAAGTAAAGAATATCACCAATTAGAAAAATTGAATATTATCTCTGATAAAATAAAATTAATATTAAAATTAATTAAAAAATAATAAAAA